CCAAGCCACACACCACTACCAGCCCCCATCATTGGTGGATGAGTGTCTAACTCAGTAGGGCTATTTGTGTGGTGGGATTAATCCACTGGGATCTTCAGAGTTTGTCGGAAAATACCCCATGGTGGCTGGACCCCATGGCTGTTGCTTGAGTATCACTCCTGACGACTGAGTGTTGTAGTGGCAGTTGCCCCTGGTCTTTATGGTGCTAAGTGACTATAAGAGTTATGTGTTATTGAGTATGTCCACCCAGTAGTGGTGTGAGTGATATTGAGTATGTCCACCCAGTAAGGGTGTGAGTATGTTGAGCCTGAGGGCATAGTACCAGATTTCGTCTGTTGGTACATATATATTCTTTCTCCTACATATATATCAATGTTTAAATAAATTTTGTATTTGTATATTGTGTCTACTGTTACGAACCACGCCATCTATTGTCCTGATCTACCTACCCAGCACCACGAGCAACGCCATCTAGGGACGAAACACGAGTATGACTCGTCTTAGTTACCACTCCGGGGTTTCCCTTCTCCATATCCTGGTTGTTGTGTCACCTCCTCCAAGTCTTCTTTGTCAGCTCGAGTTCGAGGAGAGTTCAGTTCACTCTGGGAAGTGACCACAGGATCACCTATCCTGGAAACCTACGGCACAGTGACTACCTACCGTCTTCTACAATACTCAGCCTTACTCGTCAGCCATCTCAGCTCCACACTTAAGTATTTGTAATCTTATATTGCCTCCCCACCTCCACCTTGCTTCAAATTATTGTATGTTGTATAAATATGTATATACTGTTAATGTTTAGGTTAAGTATGGTTAAGGGTAAATTATAGAAAGCTGAATATTTTGTTAAGGAATTTATGGTACTTTATTATACACAACAAAAGCTCTCATCCTTTGTCTACCCTTTTATAGTCCGATTGTCTTTGTTTTTTTTTTTTGTTGCCTGTTGGGATCTGGGTAGACTTTTAACAATATTCTAAATCCCCAACTCGTAACACTACTATTTACCTACAGTATTTACCGTTATTTCTTCCCTATTACTTGATACTATCATTACATACCCATGAGCCTCCTCTCGTCACGCTACCAATGGTAATAAGTATGAGAGTAAAAGGAATTGTTACTGACACACAGGCCCTTATAAAGTGGTGGCAGCCCAGGCCCTCATAAAATGGTGGCAGCTCAGGCCCTCATAAATGATGGCAGCTCAGGCCCTCATAAAGTGGTGGCAGCCCAGGCCCTCATAAAGTGGTGGCAGCCCAGGCCCTCATACTTCAACTTCGAGGATGTTTGGATTTGGGGGCCCCTTAGTGTCGGGGGGGGCCTGAGGCCAATGCCTCATGGTTAATCCGGCACTGCTTTGCAGTAAGTTCAAAACTTAATTGGATCCAATGATTTACCTGGTTCACGTGCCCTACCAGGTGGATCATTGAATGACTCTGGGACAGCGGAAAAGTTAGGTGGTTGGGAGACACCAGACACCGTTACCTTACCGCTGTTCTGACCATGAGATTGAGGAGCTTGGGTAGCCTTTTTGTACACCTCTGGACCTCGCTACTTCGATCTGAAATGGTATTCATTGTGAGTTAAATGGTAGTTCTCGGCGAGGCTGGCTGCTTTGCTTACATCAGTTACCTCTCTCTCCTGAATATACAATTTAATATGCAAAGGAACTTGTCTGAGAAGTTCTTCAAGCTGTATCAATTGTCCTAACGCTTCAAAAGTATTGGCATTGCTAGCTCGGAGCCATCTTGTAAATAACCTTTCCTTTGTTCTAATAAACACGATGGAAACGTGGACAAGATAAATATCGATAAAATCACACAGGAAAAGGGAAACAATTTGTTCATATATAAGAGAATATAATCATACACAGGTTGTTTTAAGTAACTTCCTTGCAACTTTCATTATTAAGAAACTTCAAAACTCAGCTTTATTTAGATTTCGTCATCCCTTAACAGACAAACACTTGAGGGTCATGTAAAATGATAATAATAATAATAGTAATAATAACAATAATAGTTAATGGTAACAATAATAATGGCAATAATATGATGATGATAATAGTAATAATAATAATAATAATGATATTAGTAATAATAATAATATAATAATAAGAACTATATTAATGATAAGGATAACACTAATAATAATATTATGAATAACAATTATTAGTTTACTGAAAAATATAGCAGCCATAAACGAAAAATATAAAGGACAAAAGTGACATAGTGACGTGGGGGAGAGAGAGTTACTTAACAAGAAATGTCAGCGTCGTTATACTGTAGAGGGAGATCAGCAAGAAGTGGACACAATTTATCTCCGAGTTGTTTGTTATTATCATGGTTGAAATATGTCTGTTTTTGTACCGGAGGATCGTATGGGCTGGATGCGATTGTGGTCTCGAGTGGCAGCAAATGGGGATGGCGAGGATTGTGTAGCAGCTTTGTCCCAAACTGAAATGTGAGGTCATTGTGATGATTAACATAGAGTTGGGAGG